ATGGAAAAGCCTGCAGCCTAACCGTTACCTAACCATCATCATCATCATCATCATCATCATCATCATCATCCACTGGGCTGTGGGTGTTTGGGATGCACAGTATGCTTGGTATGTGTCTTCCAAGTCTCTTTGGTCATTTCAGGTTTGGGATATGATGGGACTGGGCACAAGCTCGGTCCTCCTTTCTCAAGGCGTTCCATAATCTTTTTTTCAACCCCCACAAGTGACCAAATGATACCCAACCTAAGGAAAATCAAGGCTCCCTCCTGACGCAGATGCCTTGCAGATGCTCTTTCTTTGGGGGCCTAGAGAAGGGGGCCCCTGTCTCGGAGCTCGGAAGGTGAGTCAGTATGACTTGTTGTGCCACAAAAGAGCATCTTGTCGTTGCAAGAGGTCAGGTCTATCAATGGCCCTGTTCTTGCATCTGGTGCGTGCTCAAAACATGCATGCAGCGTGCTCGGAGGCGTTCCGGAGGCGAACGAAGAGCGTCCACACCAACCAAATATCGGTCATCAGCCAGAACTGCTTGACACGTATTGTGATCCGCTGTATGAGAACAAGAAGAAGAACATCAAAAGAAGACGAATAAGAACATATCAGGAACATACCAGCACCCTCCAACAGGTCACCAATTCAGACCTCCAACAGGGCCCTTCTCAACCTTCCTATCTCGGAGACGAGATCTGCAAGGTCATGTTGCTGGTGGAAGAACTCATTTGTGAAAGCAATCCCCGAGCCCCAGATTCACCCGTCCACCTCCGGCTCTTGGGGCTTTCAGTCTATGATCCACCTGATCTGGTGCAGACCAGCTGATCTGAGATGGAACCCCCAAAAACAGGCAAACGCCCGGACCAGCCACTCGATGACCTGAACTCTCTCCAGCCAAACGGGTGACTCTCCCCGTGCGCACTGCGCTTCGCCTCGTCGGTGCAGACCAGGCCGCGATGGCCATCCGCAGAGGTGGAGCGGGTTAGACGACGTCTGTCGTCGCGGCGGGTAGGACATGGCAGCGGGAAAGACCGGTCGGTGGTCCTTCAGGTAGGTTCACCATGGGTTTTTTGAGGTCCTGAAAATGGGTGTATATACCTTTCTTCATGCCTTTTTTCTTCATCCTTTGTGTTCATTCTGTTTTCATGTACCCAGCATGTACGCACCATTTGGTAAAACCTGTTTTTCATCCTGTTTTCATGTACCCAGCACCCGACGAACAAAACAGGTCTCCCAGCCTTGGTGGCTTCTTTTAGTCTTGGAAGACGCTGTGAAGTGGCAGGTGGTGGAGCTGTGAAGTGGGGTGCTGGCATGGATGTACTGATACCCAGACACTCCCGAAAGCTTGACCACACGGCGCAGAGAATATCATATTATCCAGTTGAAAACCTCTCTCCGTGACCAGGGCGGGGGAGGAGATTGCCGTGCCCCTTTTCGGCCATGTGAAGAAGTGTTTTCGCTCGCTTCGCCTCCAACCCTACACCCCCGGTCTCCGTAGTTTTTGCGATCAGGGTGGGGTGAGCTGGTGACCATTGGACCTGAACTGTCCAAATAAGAAAGACGTGTTCTCTTTAGGAACCAGTGTGGTCTTCAAGGCCGGCGAATCTTCAGGTAGTCCTCAACTCGTGGCCGCCCTGCTGACGCTTGGCGTGCTGAGCGCCTGGCGCTGGCACGCACTGGTGGTGCCATGGCAGGCGAATGGACTTGAGGAAACATGAGGTTACCAGGAGAGAGTTGGAAACATGGAAAGTTGCCCACCCTTTGGGTACAGCTAATTATGGCATATAGTAGGCATATAGGACATTATACAATATTACTACCGCCTCTTTTTGGACAACGCGACTACATACGGTATATACCAGGACCCTCTTGGAGGGGTCCACAATGAACTACCCCACACTACCTATAGGCTTCCAAACAGGGCACCCCGACAGGAGGGTCCTGGTATAAGTACTCAATCACTGTCACAGGCAGGGTCCCTCGGTCCTGCGGCGCCGGAGCCAGGAGGGTCGGTCCCGATGGAGCTCCGTTTGGACGCTGGGCCGGAAGCGAACGCGATCCCCACCGGGGAGGGGCGGGGTTCGCGGTTTGCGTGTTTCTTACTTTTGGGCATTTTGGGGTTGGAGGCCACTGGCAGTGCCACTGGCTTGAAGGCTGTAGAAAGAGCCTGATCAACATAGTTTCACACTCCCCTGGAGATGAGGTCGTGCACTTGGAGGGGAGCAGGCTGGTCAACCAGGTTCTGCTCCACCAGCAAACGGCTGTGGTTTTTCTTCTGTGGTTAACAGCCGTTTTGTTTTTTTAATATACAGTCATGTAGCATGGATGCGCATGGATGCTTTGTCACCTGCAGAATTCGGGTTTCAGAGCATTAAGTGAGTCTTTGCGAACCCAAAAGGCTGGACGAAACCAGATGGAGCAGGCAAGGATGAGACGGACACGACGTGACGATTCCTTCAGAGTGGCGTGGGTTGATGGGTCCAAGGGTATAGTCCTCTTCTAGTTCCACATGCGGAGCCCCAGCCCCTCCCTGGAAAACAGGAACTTCTTGTCCAAAATCCCTTGGGCCAGGAGAGTCTGTGTGTCTCTCTCTCTCTCTTTTTGCATGCGCACGTTCTATCTTTCACAGACCCTAGCCTTCAAAGACTAACAGAAAGGTTGACCTGGCGTTGTAGTCCACAATCCTGAGTCAAACAATGGTTGTTTGGGATTGAACCCAATAAATCAATGGTTCATGGATCCCAGCATCCGAATCCGGGAAAGACCCGACCTGGCATTCTGCCGGACCTGACACCCCTACCTATATGGTTTGGTGCCCCTTAAAGACCTTAGGGTAGAGTCCCCCCCCGCACCACCCAAAAAATACTACAATGAGACCCTGACGTTTTTGTTTGTCGAAAAACACATCCCGTCAGGCAGTTGATCAACCCAAGGAATCTGACAAGGAGACAGCCACCCATCAGACAGGTCAAAGGTGCAGTTGATCCTGTCAGATGCAGTTGATCCTAATTACATCTTCATTCTCGCTAAGGAGACCTGCACCTCTGGACCGGGCACCCACAAGTCGCCAGGGCTTTGCGTGGCATGCGCTGCTCGAAGCAGCAGTGAGGGACCTCCCTCAGGGAGGAGACCAGCGCATACCTGTTCGACCAGTCATTTTTCGTGCGCCGTTCGACCTGGTTTTGGGGTAAGGTCCTTCATACAACATGACCAGAGGCAGTATAGGTATAGTTGTTTATAAACGATTATCACAATTTTTGAGAAGGCCTGCCCCCCCCCAAAAAAGAAATCGATACCCTGCGAACACCAACTGCTACTGGTCATGGGATATACTTCAAAGAAAAATTATTGCCCAGTGGATCCCAGAAGGAACCAGGGGTTCTAAGTCTATGCCAGCATAGTGGTTTGCCTGGATCCCCTGGGTTGGTTGTTTGGGATTCAAGCCATTCAATCACTTGTTTGGGCTTGTTTAGGGCTCGTGGCCGATCGATCTTGGGGGGGTTGCCTTTTGCTTGGTCCGCAGCCGAGGTAGGCCCTGGAAATCGCTTAGGGGACCTGGGGTCACTTCAAAACCGCCGGACCGTCCACTGCTTCACCGCTCCGGTCACCGGGTGTCTCCGCGGTCGTCTGGCTGATGCGACAGACGAGGCGAGATCCCAATGGGGTGAAGCATATCGAGACTCGGAACCAAGCGCGCGTCGCCGCCTACTTGAAGTGCCCCTTGGTCGCGGAGCGTTTCGAAGCGGGGAGCGTTAAGCGCGCGTGCTGCGTTCCGTGCTGCGTTCGGCGGCTTCGAAGCGCGCGTGCTGCGTTCCGCGCTTCCGCGCTTCTCGGAGTGGAGCGAGGGGGAGACAGGGACCGCAGCGAGGAGTGCGGTCGTAGATCTTCGAGTCAAAGACTGGCAGGGTCTGACCCCAAAGTGCTACAGGAGTGCCCCGGAGAACAGTCTTTGAAGTTCAAAAAAACACAAAACCGAGCATTGAAGTCATTGACTCACATGAGTGACCATCATGACATGCATAAGTATACGTGTGACAAACAACTCAATATGTTCTATGTAGGCCAAAGGTGTGCGCGCTAGGTAGTTGAACCTGTGCGCGCTGGTTGCAACGGGTCGGCAACCAGCTTCGAACCCGCCCAGGAACTTCACCCGATCAAAAAGCCGATCGAAACGCGATTCAATGTTGAAGCAATGTTGAGATATAGATGAATAGAGATAATAGAGAAGATATAGGTATATATATATATATAGTGTTTTAAGATAGGAACAATACACAGAAGAATCACCGCTCGATATGTTTTTTCGTTTCCCCCCCCAGCACAAGCGATTTCATTCCGAATTTAATCAGATCACCTGTTGTTGGATTCGCCGCCGCAGCTCCAAGCAGCTCCAAGCAGCGGAGGTCTTGAAAAAGACATCAACTTGGTGGGTGTATTTTAATAGACCCCCTGTCCCAATGGGTTTGGGGTCGAACCCAAATGTGACCATTGATGGGCAGGTTGGCATTTTTGGGTGGTCTACCGGTAAGGACCTCAGATCGGGCCAAAAGCAATGATCAACGTGTACAGTGTACATCTCCAGGAGTTTCATACCAGGACCCTCCAAGAGGTGTCTATTTATAGCCCCTTAGCTGTGATTCGAGGTGTCCATTAACCACCCCGACTGGGAGTCCTGGTACGAAGCCCCAGATGGGTCATTCCTCCAATCAGGATGCCTGGCTGCCTGTGTCCCAACATCGTTTGTTGACGACCTTGGAGGGCTTAAGTTATACCCGACCGATCCATTTGGTACACGTTTCAGAATATCGCCAGGCAATTCGCAGGATTGGTTTAATTAAGGTAATATCTATACTGGAAACCATGGTTTTCGCTCCAAAGCAGGTAGGATCAGGTAGGTTTCCGGCTGATTTTCCCTTCTAAGCCGCTTCTGGGACCACTGTCACTGTCCAGATACGCTGGAAGAGATCTTCAATGGCTGTGAAGTATCCCTAGACCGCCTCGGTGATGAAGACATGCAGGGCCGCATTCGCATTGATGAGCCGCGCCCGCAAGGGACGAGGGACCCACCTTATAAGGACAAAAAGCACGTAGGACATGGTGACAGGGGCGGCACAGAGAGAGGATCGCAAGATGCGAAAGATTGCGAAATCATGTGTTCAACCAAGTTGATCCCTGGATGTTGGAAAAACACTCACTTTTTGACAGGTGACATGACTTGGAAAGTGACCTGTCTCTTGGACAAACTCACCGGCAATTACCGCGACGCGTGTTCGACCTGGTGCTCCGTCCAGGTCGGTACTGGAAACGTCACGTCGGGTTCACTGAACTGGGAAAGGTGTCCAGGTGCCATGTAGACCTCTGGATTAACCCCCCACAGAGGTTTTTCAATCCAAATGGGGAGACCTATACCCGCCCCACCTGTGGGGGTCTGGGATGGTGTGGGAGCATGACCGCAAGTTCGCGCATCCAAATGGGGAGGGTTTATTCATCCAGAGTCGACATGACAACGTACAGACCCACGTTTGGAGCCGCATGACACTTTGGAGCAGGCGATGTTTGGTGCGCCAAGCGATCACTCGGAATGGGCAGAACGAACATCAGCACATGCTACTTCACATAAACACCATTATGCCTTGAAGCAATCATGCATGCCAATCAACATGATGCAACATGCCAGTGCTTGAAACAGTTGAATGCAGCTTTTCTTGGTCGCTGACCGTGTTCTTCCGGGTGCGCCCCGTCACCGTACGTACCGGCCCTGTTAGTCACTCCACGCGAGGACATCATCATGAGCAAAGGCTGTCGGGCAGCGTATGTCCATGTGGCCGCCACCGGAGAGTCTTGGAGACTCATGTGGGGATCTCCACTTCACACGTCGTCGGGGTCGCGGAAGCGGTCGGAACCCGCGCGCGTTGGAACCCCATGCGGTGAGGAACCGGTGATGTTTTGGCGTTGGGGATGGACGGGTGGTTCCTTTTCTATTCCATCTGGCATGGGTTTGGGGCAAGACGATCCGACCCGAAAAGGGTCAGTTGGTCATAGAAAAGCACTACTCAAGGGGTGGGTTTTAGATTTGATTCTCCAACCCCCTCGGTCAGTGTCCACCAAACAGGTGGTTTGAGTTCGAGTATTGCAGATTATTGCAGCCATTGCACTGCACTAGTGACTATATAGTCGCCCGATGCGTGAGGCTCGTAATAATAGCTTTGATGAACATTCCGCTATTCAGCTTTCAAAGTCATCCAATGACTTAGCCCAGACATGTTTTACATCATTTCTATACTTGGCAATTGTTGTTTTCCCTCTGGGTGAATCTCCTTCCTGGGGTATGTTTTGTTCATTCAATCCAAGTCGATGTATGGAACATGCACCTACATTGACCCCTTGATATCATCGTGGGTAAAGTTGCCATGCATCTCTTCTACATTCGTTGGGATCCCAACCATTCCCAACCCTCCCAATCCGATTCGCCTTGTTTTTTTCCAATCAGGAAAAGCTGGAGCAGCGGCAAGCCTTCGTGTGGCTGGCGCGGAACAAGGGCCGGCTCCGCACTGCTTTGGCCAAGCGATGGAGCAGGTGCGCGCTCTTCGCCCGTGGCGAACGCGTTGGATTGTCCCGAAAGGCGTGAAACGCCCTCCAGACCGGAGACTAAATCCAACGGACACATCCGCAAGTGCAATCAAAGCTGAAGACCCAAGCCTGGCTCACTGCCTGCTTGCTGGACCACGGTGTTTTCAGTCGAGTCTTCAACTTGAAGGACGTCTTATTCTGACGGTCATGCAGGACGGCCGGCTCGTGCGAGCTCCGAACCTCGTTCTGCACCGGGCCTCCCCCACCCCGCAAAGGCACCGAACCACCACCCGAGTCGCACCGAGCCAGCACCAAAAACCGCGCGGCGGAGAGCGGCGGTTCAGGCGGAGGGGCATTCCACAAGTCTACTTCATCGAGTCGAAATGGGATGAGTGGCCCGGCCGGCCTTTGGTGAGACAGGGTGACACAGGGTGACACACCCAGCACCCAGGGTGGAGGTGACAATGAACACATAATGAACACCTAGGGTGAAGGTGACCATGATGAACACATATGATGAACACATATAATGAACCAGGATGAGGTGGACAGTGACATGAACCAAGCGTCCTGGCTGGAGGTCCATCGGTAGGAACGCGGCTAGGGTGGCCGATTGGTGACCCAGGAAGGATGATCCAGCAGGGTGACATGGCCCGACTGGGACGGTGCGAAAGGAGTGGTTCAACGCCACAGACGGTGCTGGAACATTGGGCGAACAACCTGCGCCAAAGAAGTTTAAGAAGGTCCATGAGGAGTGCTGCAGGTGGAACAGAATTCAGGCCCGAAGACAGGATAGTAATAGAGTTCAATCCCTAGGCGAGAATCAAAATCCACTCTTGATGACACAATACATTACCCAGACACGACCCATGGGACTGCCATAGGACTGCCGATCAATTGACCCCTGGTCGCCTGGCCTGGGCCCACCCACTCACTCCAGATGTTACCCAGACACGACCAGTCTGGGACTGCCATGTCGGACTGAGAAACGGCCAGGGGTAGTTGACTGCTGACTGCGGGCCAATGGGGCGGCAGCCCTATGGCAGTCCCAGACCGGTCGTGTTTGGGTTATGTGGCACAGCTCACTGCCTCAGGTGGGACGCGAAGTTCCGCAAGGCACGAGAGTATCCTGAGCTCAATGAGCCAGACCCTTACCAGTCGCACGGCTCGTGGCACCGGGGCGTTCACGAGATCGATCTTTTGGGCTGGTTGAAGGACTGATGTGGTTGACAAGTTGGAAGGAAGGGAGTAGGATGTGTGATTTTTTGCAAAAACATGGTACTCCCTTCCTGAGGGAGCCCTTGGATTGGAGACATTGGGAAGTAGGCCTGGGCCTCCAACCGCTTTTCGAGGGTATCAGTCACGGTACCGAGTAGATCTAGAGCTTGGCGGTTGTTCTTGCTCTGAAATGGGGGTTTGATGCAGCGGATGTCGATCTCAGTAGACGGCAGTGGCCGTTTTGGTGGCTTTTTGTTGAGTTTAGGTTGCAATATGACTGATCAGTCTATCCACCAAGACTGGGTGGCTGACTGTCAAATGAAGGCACCAAAAGGGCTTCCAAGTCTTCCGTGTTTCTTCAGGTCGCAGGTCTTCTCGCTGGACCAGTCACCCTACCCCTCGCTCATGATACACTGACCCAGGCAACCGAGGGTTCAGTGCAACATCCGCCGGAAGGTAGGTAGGGTGCCGCGCATGTTGCGTGCTGCTCGAGCCTCTCCTTCGCTCGTTTGGTGGGAACCGAGGTTCTTCCCCAACTGGACGCCCAAATTCATGGCAGCTTGGTGGGTAGCCGTGGCCTTTGAAGGAATTTGGACTCCCCAAGTTGTGGGATCCTACATGTACCATCATGTATACCCTCAATCTGGTCTTTACCCTAGACATCCTGAGCATTTGCGTGTAGGATCGTAGGTACATATGCCATACGCGATGTACATGTATGGAGTGCCTAAGGCCTAAGTGTCTTGGATTTTTTTTCAATCCACCCCACAAGTCTTAAAATGTTATGCCCTAAGGCACCTGCTTACTGCAGGCTTGAAACACACCAAGAGAATCCTTGATACACCAAGTCATGACCACCTACCACGACCAAGTCCTTCGGTATCCTTCGGTACAGTCGGCGAGTCCTTGTGTGAAACGAGAGTCGCGTCCTAAAACTTGAACCACATGAGTCACATGATGTGTTAAGATTCACTTAAGATGTGTTAATTAAGACATACAAACAATACTGTATATTGTCAAACCATTGCTCTGAACCACATGAACTATAGTCAAACCTACCAGGTCAAAGCTGGGGGGTTCGCAACGCCTCAGTACCGGCCGATCGGGCCGAGGAGAAGGCGCCGGCCTTGCGGAAGTTGGCGAAGGATGATCGAGTGGCACCTCGACGCGCAACACGCAGGGACGAGCTCCGCGCAACAAACGAACCGCGCATGGCCCGCGCATGGCGCATGGCCGGAACCGGACAGACTCACCAGTTGAAGTGAACCAGATCTGGGTCCTGGAAACCGGTCCCAAGCACAAGCGCTTGTTGATGCTCGTGGTTGTTCCAAGCGTTTCTTCTGGATGCCTATGGCCTATGGCAATTGTTCGATCCTTTTGCTGTATAGAAGTGCCTGGCGGGTTTCTGTGGGAGTCCCATCACAGTCGACCCTCCTGCTTTCTTCTTGGGCAGCTTCACCTCGGGAGTGAACCACCAGACGTGGAGGTTTCGCTCTGCAAGGCCTCTTGGGGGCTGAAAACATATTAAGCCTACATCATTGTGACAATGGATGCAAAACTTCATGGGTCCGGCAGATGCATCGAGCCCTGAATGGAAGAACGTGAATTCCACTCTCTGAGAATTCCGAACAGAACCCCCTACTTAGGGCCTAGAGTACAATTAAGTAAAAGTCAGCATGTCTTTCGACAGCCGAGTTCGGCCAACCAAACCCGGTTTCCGCGTGGTTTCACCGCGCGGTTGTCTCTCGTCCGCACCACGTCTCCTTGCGCTGAGGAGAAGATTCGAGACTCGATGGGTCTGGGAGATGAAACGAAGCCCTTCCCCAAATGGGGATACCCCCAGTGACGGTGAGCGTTCGCGTCGAACGTTCCAAGAGCGTTTGCGATGTGCAAAGCCTGGCCTCCCGACCGTCGGAAGCTGTGCATTTTTAGCACAAAAATGCGCAAAAGGAAGGTGGGAAGGAATTTTCCGCCGGAGGAACGCGGCTTAAGCAACGCCGGCGGAGGATTGTGGCCCGAGCGAAGTGGAGTTGATGGATAGAAGTCTTTTGGAAGAGAACTCACCCAGTTGGTGGAATCCCAAAGTGCAGGTCAAAAAACAAACATCGGAAAACGGCTTTGTTTGGCCTTTTGTGAGGTGCAGCAAATCCAGGTAACCAGAGCATTTTGGGTAGACGGATGTGGGGAAGTGTTTGGGACCAGAAAGCCACAAGCACAGTGCAATCCGCGAAGGGCTTCAGGAATCTCGCGAGCCCAGCAAAAAGAAGGATCTGCAAGCTGCCATGTGACCTCCACAGATGATCTCTAAAGACTCTAAAGTATGAATCATATCATTTTGACAAGTTCATGAACATTTGTGGGAGTCTTCCTTAGATGAGGCCATGGGTTTCTTCCAAAGAATGTCCACTGCGCAGTTCACCACGGGTTGGAACCGGGGTGCATCCACGCACCCGACTTGATTCGGTTCTCGGACCGCCAGAAACCGCCAGAGACGCCACAAATGGTCGGAAGAGAGAGAGAAATTGGAGAGCTGATGCGATCGGTTCGCATCCGACATATCTGGAACCACCCAAAGACCCCTAAAACTATGTGTTTTTGTACTCCATGAGTCCATGAGGCAATTCCCTCCAACAAGTGTGGAAAAGCGTCTCATTTGTAGATGAAGAAAGAGTACATTGGCAGGGGTGGATTGGTGTCTTGTCTTGGGACACTGGCTGAAAGTTAAGAACTTGACGCGGGAACCACGTGTGAGAACTCGTTTGCGGGGGTTGATTGTTATGATGCCAACCAAACTCCAGGTTCCAGCAGAACCCCCACACTCGCACAAGCAGCTGTATGGAGGCATATTTGCGCAGCTCTGGGCGCAGCAGTCTAAGACATTTGGGTCACCAAGTGCCTCTGCCCAAGAACAGCCCTTCGCTGGGAGGCCTAATTCTTCGCGCGCGCGCGCCCCTGCAGAGACGTCGATGGCGCCGCACGCCTTTTTCTCGATCCGGAAGTGGTCAGAATGAATCAGCTTTGGGATCTTCATGAACAGATGCCCACGGCTTCGAGTCTTATAGATCTTAAAAGGCATTCGTTCGACAGGAAGACTTGTACACATACTTCTACCAGCTGGCCAGCAAGACTTCTACCAAAGCTCCAGAGTGAGCTCGCTCGCAGTTCTTAGTTCCCATTGCGCATGGTATCAGTGCCAGATTCACTGCATTTGCTTGGGCAGATCTGTCCAAACGCCGGCATGTTCGGACCTCCCGGACCGGCTCCGGGACCGATGATGCAGGGTGGAGAGACCGAGGTTGAAGAAGCTGCTTCTCCAGAGGAGAGACAAGTTCATCTTGGTGGCGGGCGCCCAGGTCGTCATACCGTCGATGCTGGCAGGTGGCGCACGAACGAAGTGAGTGACACGTTGAATGCAGCACGACGTCATGTAATGACAACAGTCAATTGCTGCACCCGCTGTTTTTGGAAGACCCCTTGTTTCTCGAGTAAGAAGAGGACCGTATACCTCATGTTATATATATTTTTCTCTTGCAAGGTGTGCCGTGGTGTGCTGTTGTTGGTTTTTTCTGCATGCTTCTGTTTTGGCCGCGTCAGACAGAACCGTCCATGCCTTCCTTTGAGCTGGAACTAGAGTCACTAGATCCACCCTTCACTAAAAATAAAAATATATATATATATCTGTGTGTAGTAAGAACACGCAGCAACCTGTTGATTCGTTTGGGGCAGCAAGCTCAATGTCCGAGCTTCGTTCTTTTTCGGTGGATGTCTTCAGCTCACGTTTGAGACACCGTTCCCGACACCGTTCCTGACATGTTGACATGGACCGGCTGGCAGGGCAGCTTGAAGCAAGCCCAGGTGTCTATGACCGGTCTTTTGAGGCTCCAAAAATGTCCTTTGAGACTCCAGAGACTCCAGCCATCTCAAAGGACATGACCCAGCCATCATGAGTCTCAAAGGACTCAGTGGCATGGAGACTCCAGCTGGGTCATGTCCTTTGAGACTCCTTCATGACCCAGCCATCTCCAGCCACTGAGGATGTCTACGGCACAGTCGATATCAACCACTCAAGGCAATCTCTGGTGAGGGGGGGTGGTTCCGGCAGATTCTGAATATACCTCGGGAAGCTGAGATTCCTTCCTGCGCGCAATGTCAACGGTTTTATTCCAGCTTCAAGGACCTTCATGTGAGTACGCCAGAGTGTAATTACTTCAGCTGTCGACTCGACGATGTCGGAGCATGTCGGAGCTAATGTCACATCCATCCAGGGCGCCCATGGCCCATGATTTGAAATCTGTTCGTGGAACCGCTCCCTGTGTTGGTCACTTGATCCCGCAACCATCGGCAGTCGGGGAAAGTATCCCCGCCGGCTGGGTGCACGAGTGCAACACCAACCTCGTTGGGTGCTCTGAGGAGGGAGCAACTGGAGGGGGTTTCCAGTGCTTCTCCACAAAGCAAAGAGCCAGCTCGCTCCTTGGAGCTGCTACTCTGCGGGAGGAACTCACAGGTCACTGCGATCTTCAGCTTCTTCCTCATGATGATGAGACTGATCGCTGGGTTCAAGTCACGAAGTCACTCACAGGGTTCTTCTATCCGGGACGATGCTTTTCCTCTTGTCTTTTTTTTTGGGGGGGGGGCGATTGGAACACACATTCCGGTTCTGCTCCACCTCTTTGAGGATTATATAGAACATAAAACAAGACACCGCAGTGGACTCAGTGGACAACGCTCCAGCCCCCAAAGGGTCCACCAAGCACCAAGTTTCATCTCATCATGTGAAGGCTTGATCAAAAACATCCCCACATGAAGAAGTTTACAATCCATGTTTGCATTTGCTTTCTCATGGATGGGTTATGGTTGGTGAAAGGGAACATCTGCAGGAAACCACCGTGCTCACCACCAAAACTATATGGTTCCTGTAAAGTTTCCTTTAAACTTAAACCAATTCTATTATGATGGTTGATGCACCCAAACAAACGTGCCGTCTTCCCCCAAGCAACCTTGTCTCCCCCTCGGTTGCAGGCGCTGGCGCTGGCGCGCGCAGGGAATGGTCACCCGCTCTCGGCGGAGATGAGGAGAAAACAAGCGCCCCGCGCGCGCGGGCGGTGTGGGGCCCACTGGATCGCAACACCGAAAGATGATCCCAAGGACCTAATCATGACCCAGCCACGCAGAAATCTTGGATTCTTTCACACATTCGGACCACTAACTCCACTCCATGGGACTGCAAGATGTATACCTAAATTGATTGAAACGATCATTGAAAGCACCCAAATGTAGGCTGACATGTACCATACATGGAGCGTTTGGGTGATTCAGCGAAAGCAAAACGTTTGTGGATTCGGGGTGAGATCACCCGCGGATTCAGTCACTGGTCAGTCCATGATGACGCTGATGCACACGTAGCGTGTTGGCAATGATGTGATGTGAGCATGATGTGGCAAGTCCCTGGTGAAGGCTGAATTAGTCAATCGCAAGAAGACAAATGCATGATGAATCATACACTCCGACACCCTAATGGCGGCATGGTTTGCTCATACTGACTGCACAAGGAGCAAAAGTACAGCCCTGCTTTGTTAAAGGTGACTCACGTTGCATGGACACGGGTGACAGGAGAAAATGTGGAAGAGCATTACAGCCTTTGACTCATGGTTTTTGTCCCAGTTTGCTATGAACCTGATGATATGTGCACCCCTAGGTATAGGGAGCATGTTAGTGACCAAAAACCACAAAGAAGGTTAAAGGTTAGGGGCCTTCGTGTAGCTTTGTTTTGGACATTTGTATAGGAATTCTGTAGGAATAGGGAATATTCTCCACATGGTGGCCATGGAAGCCTCGTGATCTTGGTGCCAATGCTGCGATCAACCTGGACGTATTTTGGTGCCTTGGCTGTTTCAAGAGTTGTGTTTTTCCCTGAGGCTCCAAATCTCCAAGTACCTGAAGGTATGACTGACCCTCCTGGCATCTACCCCAAACACCCAGTTCCACCTTCTCAAAACGTACGACTGGAGCCTCGAACGGGATTGTTTTGGGGTGCTGGTTTGTCGCCCTGTTGGTCCGTGGGTGGTTCATATGAACCCCCGATATGGACAAGAAGAAGGAAGCATGTTGGGTTTTGTGCCATTGATTCCTGCAACGACTGTAAAAACGTGTGCAAGCTCTTCAATATGAAGGTGCCCCAGTGCAACAAAGAGTGTTGACACCGAAATGGCGGGTCCAGGTTCATGGCGAGTCTGGCCAGCGCCAGCTGGTGATTGAAGCATATATTTCATATTGAACCCATTGACTCGTATGACTCAGTACGCCCTCAACCCCAGACCCACATGGAACCTGAAAGCCACTGGGTCACTGGGTTGGTTAAGGTCAGGTAAATCGCCTTCCCAAAAGGTCCAAACCCGTCAGGGGGGCCATGTGGTCCTCATGTACTGGGTGTATTTGTGTAAGTGAGTTGAAACCATCAAATTATAGTGAGTCTCACAGTTGATCTGTGCAGGCGGAGTCCAGATCATTGGTGAAAAACACGCCAGCTTCTAGATGACCTGTCGCTGTGGCCATGTTCACCGGGTGGCCATTCTTTCATGCCACGGGTTTGAAGGGAAACGGCTTCGTCGCGGTCTTCTTCTCGGGCCATCGAAGCCCCACCGGAGAAACCGATTGGGTTGACACTGGTCGACATGTGTCGACGTATCACCCGGGCTGGGTTCTCTCAGCCCGGGCGGTGGTCGCATGCCACAATAGCATGATCTGGCCAGATGTCCCAAACCATCCCAAACCCATCCAACACATGCTTTCCGATGGGCCAGCACTTAGTCCCGGGGGTAGCGGGACGACTGGTGCACCAAACAAACCCAAACAGATTGGTTTGACGACCGAATTGGTTTGATTCTGCATCAGATGACCAGCAGGAGCGTCCTCCCCAGAGACGCCTCCCATCAGCCTGTCGCCTGGTGAGCCTCACTGTGAGGTTTGGGTGCTCTGGTGGGAGCTGCGTCACTGGGCGTCGATGCAAAGAAAAAACGAAGACGCAGCAGACTGAGTCAGACTGAGACCAAAACGTGCGGACAGAAATTCAAGCTACGGCATAGTTGGGATCAACATGGATCGACATGGATCAACCACCTACAGTGGTTTCAGAGTAGATGGCACAGACCCCATGATGTTCTTTAGATGGGGGTCCATATAGACCACCGAGATTGGGGTCTGTGCCATTGGTCCTCTCAATCCACTACAAGTCGACTATAAGGGACTTTACTGAGAGAAGAACTTTTGAGGGAAGACTGCAAGATCTGAAGGAAGGGAACTGGGAGGACGGTAGGGCCTTTGTTTGCTGAAATGTGTCTCTTGCATGCGAAGCATGTCATACATATCTCGAACTTTTCTCGAACTAACTCGGCAGGCATTCTGTGACATGTGTTTTTTTGCATACCACGTTTGTCCTGAACCATAGATGGCCAGAAAATACCCCCCAAGCGATCAGTAAACAACCTATTAATAGGTACACAAATAGTTAAATCATTTTCTGAACAACCACGTCCCAAATCGACACCCCTCTATGATTCCCAAGCGATCCGAACAGCAACGGAACCTTGACCGATCCGGAGGCTCTTTTGGGTCTCCGATTCGAGTGGCTGGTTGGTCACACCCGGCCTGGGCGACGTGGCGGAGGCGTGGATTGGTCCGCGCGCGGGGGGGGGGACGGTGACGGACCGGCCAGGTGCAATGAAGGAAGAATGATGGCCCGAAGGCCCCAAGCCTTCACACAGCTCAGCATCAGTCCTTGCATGTGAGCTGATCATCCAGATCTCAGCTGCTTAATTAGCAAATCAAGCTACGTGCCAAGCCCTCAAAAGCAGGGGATCAAGTTCGGCCACGCTAACATGTTGGTATCCGACCATTCCCGCATACAGCATAGTATCAGTAGTTGTTTCTCCTGTGAGCCTTTTGGGGTGCGAAGCTTCCCCCTTCACATAGACTCTTGGACTGGACATCCTTTCTGCATGGACTTGGGTGTGCAGACTGGTAGAGGGAGACCCCCGGTCCTAATGGGTAGACTGGTCAATTTTCCAAGGGGCGCTCTCCCTGATTTAATAGACAGACACTCCATGTATGGTATACATGCCTACATTGACCCCTTTTCAACCACCCCTGTTTGTACGGATTCATATGCCATGTCGTGTCTAAATGAATTCACACCCACGGGGGCTTCTTTCAGGACGACTCCCTTAAGTTTCACCATTTCAGCGAGCCGCGAGCGCCTCGCGTGAGAGGCCCCGCTGGCACCACGCGAGGAGCGCATCGAAGGCTCCAGGCCGGGCCAGCGCAGGTGGACGGGCCCAGAAGGGACTGGGACCAGTCTGACTGATGTCACATGTGACATGCAGACTGATGATCTGGCTATGAGGCTATAGGCATCGTATATGCCCTTTCCAATTTTGGAACGGAGTCGGGAGCAGATGATGCACAGTGCTTTCTTCGGACTTTACGGTGGCTTTACGGCGTCCCCCCCCAAAAAGGAAACGAACTGCAGCGGGTTTTTTCCAGCCGGACGTCACGCTTTGCGCCCGCCCCGGTGCCTTTGGGTCTTTGGATGATCCCGTTCGTCCGAACTTCCAACGACCCTGGTGTGGTGTGGTGTTCACGTCCCGAACAACGCGACCTGCAAAACCGTGTTTATTTTTTGGGCGGGGGCAGCTAGCATTTTCCCCACTGAAGAGGCAAACTGAGGTGACGTGCCGTCAAAACGCTGAGGTGACGTGCCGTCAAAACGCTGTAAAGCCGAGGCCAGCTTCAAGTGCCGTGCAAGAACAGAGCAGCACACGCCGCTGTGGCTGAAAGGTTTCTTCCTTCACTGGCAGCCGCTGTTTGGTCCGTTCGGAGCGGGCAGTGTGGGCCAAGACCCCAAATCCCAATCCAACGCTGACGTACGGACGAACTCCTCTTTGGCTTCGACTGTGTTCTTCGGACCGGAGTTTCCAAACAATGGACATGGAAATGACATGGAATGCTGGACTTGAATGACCCCCCCATTTGGATTGCAAAACGTGTTCACATGTGAAAACACATATGGGGGGGGTATTGAATCACAATTGGAAAACAATCACTCTTTTGTAGAGACGTGGGTCTTGAACTTAACCATCATCATCCACTGAAACCTGGAAATAATTGGACATACCCAGTCCCATACACTGCATGTATGCCATTTATGCCTACATTGACCCCCCCAAACCACCCCAAATGTAGGCATATATGGTATACACTCTGTACATGGAGCGTCTGGGAGATATAATATAGTCTATGTTCTCACATCCCCAGGAACGACCGAGCTCGCCACACACCCGGGTCGAGGCACACCCGAGCTCGGGTGTGTTTTCTTGGGTCACCCAAGCCTCGCCAGCACCGCTGGCCAGCTAGCAGTGGGGTGATGGTCAGTGGGCCCTTTTGGATGTCATCAGTGATGTGAATTCCAACAGAGGTTAAGTGACCACTTATAGGACCCGTAACCTGGGGTACCTATGGGACAGTCGATCGGGTTCTTCAACCTCTGTTGGTTCTTTCATTGACCTGTTGACAGGAGACGGTTTTGGAATGGGTTCTTCAACCTTTGTTGCAGTGGGTTCTTCAACCTCTGTTGATCTGTTGGGTTTCCTAAGTTACAGTTGAACAATATAATATGATTTTGTTTTGGCATACTGTATCTTTTTGGATCCAAAAGACAGCTAGTGAGCTACCTGAACCTACCTTCCACCTGCACACGGTCTTCAAACAATGCAGTTTTGGGGATTTGATGGGTGCTTGACCATCACCCATGCTTTGAACCTCATCCAAGAGCTTTGTATTTAGGTTGTCTATGGGTGTCTCAACGGCCTGACTTGTGAAGCTTCCCTGGGCCTGGCGCCCGGCTGTAGTGCCCCTAGAGCATACCGATGCCAAACGGCCCGTCCAAGGAGTCTAAGGAGTGTCGGTTTGCTTGTTGGGTTTGTTCCATTTGAGCGACTCACCTGATTGAACAACAACATGCAATTCCATCTCAGCATGCTTAATGAATGGATATCCAGTGCCCCTGTTACACATCTCTCACTGGATGCTTCTAGTTCCACCGAGTTCCGGAACGAACACTCCCAACAGAGGCCCACCCACCAGCACCACAAGCAGCTCTGGATTGACCACAACAAGCAGCGATCCCGTTTGCGAACTGCCGCTGTGTCAGCTGCACGAACGAAGTGCACCACAGCTTTTCATCCTGGAGACCGGGGCGGAGGTAGTGGCGCAGGTGGTCTTCGGGTGGCAGATGAAAGATGATGAACGTCGGGCGACGAATTCGAAAGGGGGAAGAAGACCCCTCCCAGACTCCCATAAAAAAAACACATACCATCCGAGACCCTCGAACGTGTGCTTGTTGCTGACAAGGTGTGCCTATCATCCTCGAGTCGAGGGTCCAAACACCAGTCTTTGGGGAGGCACTGAAAGACACGCTGCACGTGAAATAGGAGGCTGTGCATCACGCGGGTTCGAAGGCGCTGATGGACTCCTGTGGTGATCAAGCCGCTAGCGGCTCGCAGTGACGGATCCAAGTTGCGCCAAGTGTCCTCCGATCTGCGAAAAAGCCATCGGGGCCTGCCTTCCAATGGAGCGCTGCTTCCAACAGAGGTTGAAGGACCTGAACTAGACTATCCCAGTTCGGTACCCCTATAGGGTCCTAGTTCAGGTCACTGGCTACCTCTCTTGGTTGTCTTAAAGATGCATCAGTTCGACCCTATGAGTCCGACCCAGTGAAACCCTTTTTCTACGCACCGAGATTCGGTGAGTAATTACACCGGAGGTCGTGTGTACTATACAAAGGATGGTCGACCTAGTCGTTAGGTGACCCGAGTCATGGAATTTCCTGTACTTGAGTTGGTCTATAGTCGAACTGGACTTCATTACAGCAGCATGACTATAGACCAACTCCAGTTGCTACTGCTGGAGTAGTGTCTATTCTTGTGTGAACAACTCCAGCATGAGCCCTTGCTCTTCATCTCGCACCTCCACCTGGTCGGTGGGTCGACCCGTAGGAGCACACGGACGGGGCTGGGCACCGGATGAAATCCATCCTGGAAGCTATGGCCATTGCGTGGCGCAACAAGCCACCCGGGCATTCGAAGCGCAGCGATTCGCATGGGGCCCATGGGTATAGGTGGGGATGGGGTGGGGTGATGCCCAGCGATGGATTGGATGTCGCGTTTGGTCAACGAGGCGGGGGGTTCCCAACTGTTCTCTCGTGGATTGGGGGGTAGCTCATGTGGGCTCCTCCCGTGTGCTTCGGCTTAGAGAATATGTTTAATGCCGTGCGTGTCATGCCGATCTCATTCAACTGGAATGGCATCACGGTTGATTTTGTCTAGAATTAAACAATGAATTAAGCATCACCATCGCAGATTGATGCCTATGGCCCTTTATGGGATGACAATTCAACCAGGACCTTCAAAGTGACCTTTTGAGATCCTAGAATGAGGTCACTTAGTCCCTAAAGAGATCACTTATATAGAGAATCCAAAAAGGTCACTTTGAAGGTCCTGGAATGCAGTTCAAATTGTTTGGTGGGGGATCATGGAGCTCAGATGATGCCTTGGCTCATCAACTTATCCACGTTCTCCCTTGTTCCATCGCGACTACGTCACCTGTGTTGCCGTGTTGCCGTTTTCGTCTCATTGGAACCGTCGCAAGTGTGGGAAATTGGAAGATCAGGGCCTTAGTTTCTTCAGCCTTTTTGAGCCACACCCAAATCAGCCAAATAATCGTATACTTAATCATGCACAGACCACATGTAGAGGCTGACCTGCATGCATGCCCGCTCTTCTTCCGTTTCACTCGGTGGCCCGTTGACCGGTGCACGGCTCACTTCATAGAAGCCTTGTGGGGCCTTAGCATCGGTGCTCTCCACTTCGATGCCTCGCTACTTCGCTTGAACTTGGCTTCGCCGAGGATGAACTTTGGGGGGCTTGGTCGGTCAACTCCAGCCCTTGACGGACGCCCCGTGGTCGGTCAAGCCGCCGCGACTCGGTTCGGTCGTCCACCGACTCCTCACCAGGGGAGGTCAAAATACGAAAAAGAGGATACGTTTCAAAACAAGCAGAACTAAGCTGGTGAAGATTCGAAACCTGGCGAAAAGCGCTCAAAGACTGGGCTAGGGTGTGTTTGCAGTGCTTATATAGTGGAGCCCTTGACAAAGGACTGGAACTAGAGAAGACAAAAGACGGTACGGTGCTATTTGGTGCATAGCGGTGCTTGCTGGGGTTCCCTGTCAGGCAGTGCATAGGTGATTACTGATCACAGTGCTTTTGGGAAAACCATGGAAAACCCTCATCTAGTGCGTTCCTCTCTACACCTCACTGGCGTCCAATGTGGCCCATCAATCAGTCTTATGATATGCTCGCATGCCTGTTTTGGTTTGTCAAAACACCCGGACAGCAACAACTGATTGAATCTGATCATTGAAGCAATATAATCTAGGCCTCCCTAGGCAAAACCACCCATTTGATCCATATGGATGTCGACAGCAGAAAGTGTACAGAAACGGCCATTTGCTCACCCTGTATTTTCGCTTTTTCCCCCACCAACCCGCGTCAAACATGTTACTGTAAAACACGTAGAAATTAGTTAATGTGGCTACACCAACCCTTGTCAAATGCATGTGATTCATGTATTCTGTGGTGTATTTAACATATTTGAATATTTGATTTGAAAAAAAATATCGGTTTTGTAGCTGTGGACCCAAACTGGATTTCATAGAAACTTCCGCACTCCATACATGTTGTTGGTTTGTTGTTGTTTAGGTTGGTTGGGGTGGGGCAGCGCTTGCTTGATCGGCGAGGCTGCCAAGTTCAAGTGGGCTAGGGAAAAAACATCGTTACAGCATTCACTAACGTTCGCGGTAGCAAATTTGCACTCCTTACAACAGTCTAGGGCGTTAGCGAATGAGTTGTTACAACATTCACTAACGCATACTAACGCTAGCGATAGCGAATTTGCACTCCTTACAACAGTCTAGGGCGTTAGCGAATGAGTTGTTACAACATTCACTAACGCATACTAA